TTCAACTCAAGGTGAGAACTAGTCAAATTGCTATTACTTTCAGCACAGAACAAAACATCCCAGTTCAGAAAATGAGTATTTAAGGATCACACTGCCCCTGTGCAACACTCGATAGAAATGTTTCTTTCTCTTCCCCCCACCGCCCCCAGTCATGAGGCACAAGGAAAAATATTTACCTAACAAAGCTTTTAAAATTTCTTATTTATGAAGCTTTGATTTTGAAGTAATTTAAAACTGGTGAAAGTGTGCTACTGTTTCTTTAGTGTCAAACCATCAGTTATTAGAAAAACTCAAGAGTCCATTTGTTTCTCTTCAGTGCAGAAATTCAGCTGAGCCCAGCTGTTACACAAATCACCCTCTCACATGATCTTCCTATTCACTCAAACTTCTTCCTTATAAAAGGAAGTTTTTAAGAAACAAATTTCTATTTTCAGCAGGTCCTTTATGAAAGCGTCATTTTCAATAAATAAGAAAAAACGAAGATATTGTACACAGGTCTGTTCAAGAGCACTCTACACTAGCCAGCAAAACACTGAAACTTGCTGTGTTGTGTTGCCCTCTTCAGGTCGACAGCATATTTTCTAGTTCCTTTCCTTGACGAGGTATTGCACTGCAACTTCTTCCATAACATTTTTTAGATCTGAAGTTTCAAGTAGCAGCTAACTTCACCTGTATTCTACCAGTGCTTGAATCATTTGTGGTTTAATATCCTATAAAAATTAACTTCACTTTTGCCCTTTATATCTCCCTAACCTCAATACTAATCTTGAGGATTATCAAGCTATCAGCCAGCGCTTGAAAAGATGACTAAAAGCAAACTTAAGTACTGATAAGAAAGTCTCATGACAAGAGGCTTAAAAAGCTGAATTGATTCAGCTTAGCAAAGAAAGCTCCTGATACCGATCCATAAGTGAATATGGGAGATCAGAAAGTCACATGACTTTAAAGGGGGGTAAGGCAAAACAGAATCTAGAAACTGAAGTCAGAGAAATTCAGACTTGAAATGCAATGGAGACTTTTCAACAGCAACAAAAAATTTAATAATCTACTAGAATTAAAAGGTAGATTTATTATTAATTGAAAACTCTAAGGGTAGACCCAGTATCTTTCCAAAAAACCTCTTTTGATCTTTTTTTTAAGTAGCTGTCATAATGTGGGCCAAATTCTGCTGTTGATTTGCATACTTGCAATGGGTTTTGCAATTGCTTGTTTGAGCTCTGCCAATTAATGTGGAAATATGGATGAAACAGTCTTCAATTGCTTGGAAATGGCCATGCTTGAGTGTCTGATTCACTTATTGAGACAGGTATTACCAATGTCTTAAAATATTTTACTTCCCACTCCCACTTTTAGAGGACAGGTCATGGTAAACATTTATATTGACTCAGACATCTCAATAATGCAGCCTTAAGTAAAGAGCAAAGTGTTGAATTTAACTTATATGTTATTAAACATGGAGAATTTCACTCATGTTACAAAAGAAGAGAAACATCCTCACTATTTCTGACTGTACAACTTAATCTCAACATTTTAATGGACTTATGATAGGAAAACCCGTTCAAAGTTAAGGCCTAGTATGCAATTGTAAACAATAAAATTAATAAGCTAATCAAAACCCTTAGAAAATGGAAGCAAAGGAAATGCTTGTTCAGTACCAAATAAAGGAAACACAATCACAAATCATCCCTTCTTGGGACAGCAAACACAAAACAGCCAACCTGCCTCAAGCAATTGAGACTCTAAAAAAACTCAGGAAAACTTGGCATGAAGAGTTCTTATCTACTTTCCTTCCAATAATTTTGTAATTTTAATCTCAAGAATGAAATACACTATACAGCTGTAAATCCCATACACTCAGAGGGCAGACTCCAGAGAAAAAAGCTTGATGAGGTGGCTGAGCATGACATGGGAAGAGAGCAAGAAACAAAAATGGGGAATGAGTACAAATTAGGTGCACAACAGCTGAGACTCAGAACGCTCCCACAGCAGGCAGCAGCTCATCAGAGCAGTCTCTATCAGCATGTAGAGACTCCTCTCCTGACTAATATGTCCTGTCACAGAGCCTGGAGCCAAAGACTGATGAAAACTTCCTGCCATCTATCAGCCAGTTTGTTCAATCAGACTGTGAAACATCAGCTGGTCTTATAAACACAGGGGGAAATTCCACAAGCCAAACCAGCTCTAGTACTGGATACAAACAGTTTGACACCTGGGATTCAAAACATACTCAAAACATTACTATTATTTTCTTTCTTGCCATTAAAGAACAAGTGCAAAAAGCACTCAATTCTACAGTACTATCAGATAAAAGGCAAAAAAGCTTCTGTGCACCTGTCAGTTGAAGACAAAGCAGCTTATGCCTCTGAAGAGATGAAGTGGGGAACTTCTTTTTTGACACATTGAATTAAAAGTATCACAAAAATATAATACTATTTTTAAACTGTCTCTGGTAGAAAAAGTTTCCACCTATGTCAAAGGTTTATCTGGTTCAAGTTCCATACAGCACAGCTAACAGAATACGACAGCAGCTGGCAATAAAATCACCAAGATACCTTAGCTAACTATTAAAATTGCAAACAAGTTAATCCTTAGTGATTCTCAACCTTTTTTCACATTATCTACTGTAGATTCCAGGATTCTGGTCCAATCTTAGCTGCTATACTTAAAAGAAGAGGTGCTGGACAAGGGTTTTTAAAATTACCTGTGGTTAGTTTAGTTCTGACTTACCCAAGTATGATGTTCATATTTTTGCCATTTCTTTCTCCCACACACCTCATCAGATTTGGTCACCACACAAGGTATGATTCATATTATTCTTTAGAAATGTATTTTAGTAGACAAACTTTACAACTGAAAGAGTTGTTGAGTTTTTAAAATAATGAATTCTTCAGTGAAAAAGAGCTATCAAATCACTTTACTGAATGCATTTTTTCTGAAGCAACTTTGCCAATTCACATTTAATTGCAGCTAAGACTGGTTTTTCTTACTTGGTATCATAATCTAGTACAATTTTTTTGTAGGAAAACAAATTCATCCACCTCCTACTGCCAAAAAGAAGAAAGTTCCCTTCACAGAATTTCCTTCTAATAATTTGGCATAATAGAAAGTATAGAGAATACAAGGGGGAACTCTTCCCATTGAAGGCAATGCCTCATTATTTCCTGCCATCCACTTGTGTATCCCTAAGTACCTACAGGAACACTGTGTGAAGACACACAGGGAATAAATATCCACTGCAACATAAACTCAGGTTAAATCAGGTGTTTATGTAGAGATAAACAAGCAACCAATTAGAATGTCAAGAGGTCTCCTACCAGCACTAATGGAAATCAAATGCATACTGGATAGGGGTTAAATACATCTGAAGAACACTTTAGAATCAGTTAATTTTCCATATGCAAGTTTGTCACTAACTCCTTGTTTGGAATTAAATTATAACCTCACCCTTTCTAAGGCTTTCTGAAAATTCCTTTAAACACATAGAGCAGTAATCAGTACACACACTAACAAATCAAATAAAAAAGCTAGAGACATCTGCGCCCACATTTTTAAAAATATTGGAAATATTTAGAAATGCTAAGAGCAGCATTACTGAAAATAATATATACCAACCTTCTCAAAGGTTGTCTCAGCATCATCTTTATTTGTGTTTGGTCTTTGATTCTTAGTTAGATATTTTGGGTTTAAACCATGGCAAGTAAGGGTTTCCAATTGAAAAGGTAATGGCAATCAAGATAAGTACAACTGTTTCAAGTGATAGATGTTATTGATTTAATTATTTTTAAAAAACTTTATTAGTTGGAAATCATGTGGTATCATAGAAATCTTCCCTCATGCCCTAAAGATCTGCAACCTATTCAGAGAGCAAAACCTCTTTTTTGCAAACCTATTTACGTGATTTCTATGAAAAGACTTTTTAAAAACCTCACACCTATCAGAGAACAAGCAAATAACTTAGTCACCAACCAAACAAATACTGCGAGTACCACTCTTCCTGATACATAGTTTTTGATTCTTATACAAACCTTGCCATCTGTTGTGATCTCTGTCAAAATAACTGACTTCCGTTCTCAATCTGAGGTTTCATTATGACAGTAAATGTCTTACATCTAACATTAAAAGCTACTCCACGCCCACTGCAAGACTGTATAGGCTTCTGTGGTCATTATAACCTGTTACAGAGTAATATCAGAATATTCAGTACTATGAATGAAGGACTTTCTTTTCATAGCTACTGGTGCAAAACTTAAATATAAATAGATTGAAACATTCCAACAGAGCACAACTGTTTAATTTACAGAGAGGCTACTTGAATTTTTGTATAAGCTTTTAGCCATACATCATTCCAAACTTCATTGTGACCTTAATGCTATAAAAACTAAGGAGGTGTCCTTAGGATAAGAAAAAATTTTAAAGATTCCAAGGAATATTTCTCCAAACAAAATGCTGAGAAAAATAAAGTGCTGGTATATTAAAACAGGAAAAAAATCCACATTCAAAGCTGGTTTTGGAATGTAAGTATACAACTAGAAGACAAAAGTAAGAAATAGATGCAAGACCTATGCCATTACTTCCACCTTAAAAAGCCTACAAGGAAAAAAACCCCATACAGTGTTTGAGGGAAAAGTGTTGCTTCTAAAGTGTTTGGCTTAGAACTTTCACAGGGCATTTTGCATCTAAAGCATTCCTCATAGTTAGCAGCTATTATAAAAACAGAATTAGGTTGTTGAACTGTTTTTTAAAAAAGAACAGACAAACATTATCTACACCAGCTGTAGCACGTTGTCAAGTATTACACACTTGCAACATAATAAATGTTAATTACCTATTAGAATAAGTACAGTCTGTTTTGTCTGCTAATGCATACAACTCAAGGGTCCAGCAAAAATGAGCATGCAAAGTTTTGCCATAATGCTAGAAAAGGAAACATAATTCTGAAAACATATTACAACATGTGACACCTCAGTGGAAGAGTTTGATTTTATTTTATTGTCTCCTACCTGATAAATTCTAAATGGGATGTATCGAAATCCATTATCTTCTGGAGGATACTCCATGAGTTTTCGATTTATTGCCCAAAACTGCTCAAATTTATCTGTGAAGGTAAAATTAGACTTTGTCAATATCAGTAACATTTTTTCAGCCTAAAGAGGTAAATGAGACACAATTGGAATATCATGCAAGCTTTTCTTACAGAAGTTTAAACCTGTATTAATTAATATTCCCCACATTTCTCTTCCCTATTTAGCCTGAAGCCAAAAGTAGGTCATCTGCATTCTCCTATGAAAACAGTGATGTGGTGATTTATTGAATGGAAAGAGAAAGCAACTTTAACTCATATCTTATCTCCCACTGTTGAGGAAATATTGGGCTATAAATTATGGATTTCATTACTCAATTAACAGTGCCTGTTTCTCCACTCCCTGATGTTACTGGTCCATACTGCCTCACAGTTTGCTAAAAACATCTAATTGTTCTTAGCTTTAACTGAGCAACAGGTATAAAGCATAAAGAAACTAAAGCAAGAGAAATACTTCTTGAGTGGTTTACATTTGGATATATAGATCTTAAAATAATCTGTAAAAATGCATGGTATGATCAGAAAATATACTGCCAGATTCATGACACAACCTGAAAATAAAAGTTTATGCTTGTAACACATTTTTGTTATTATCCAAGTAAGCAGGGTAAATAGCCTGCACACCATTTCATGCTGTCCATACACTAAAAGAACTGAATAGTTTATTACATTTAAAATGTACTCTTAATGTACTTTAATTTAAGAGTAATAAAGGCTTTGATACATGTAAATCAATTATTCAAATGAAGCAAGTAACTAGCACCAGAAGTGACAGAAAGAAATACAAAGAGCTAAGATGAATAAAGCTGGTGCTGGCCTTACTGAAGAAGGCAGGGAAGAGCAAGGGATCAAATTCCTTATAGGCCCTAACTCTCCCAAGACACCAAATACACAAGATGTTTCTGCAGAAGGAACAAACAGTCTCCAATTTTCTCTCCTGGGTACAATGTTCAGCCAAGTTTCAAGAAGCTGGGCTCTTACAGAATATACCCATTACAAAATTCATCCCCAGTGAAACAAGGTAAAATTCAGAAATGTATTCACAGGAAAAAGGTTCTTCCTGCTTCCAAAAGTGCTGATTACACTTAAAGCAATTGCAGAAAATGAGTTTGAGATTTGCTTCACTCCAGCACACAGCACAGATGCCTGTCAGTGCACTAAAAGGCACAGGTTAGTATATACTGCAGGGTTTATAATACATTGCTTTTCCTGACTGAATGCAACACAAGGCAGGAATTTCCAAGAAACTGGGAACAAACTCCTGCCAGGTATGCTGTAGCAGCATTTCCTGATACTTATCTGAGAAAGCACTTCCACACCCTTGATTCCTGATTAGCAGCAAGTGCCTCTTGACAGGCACTTACCTGAGCCACAGCAGCAGCTCCAGGCAGGCACCTGCCCGGCATGGGGAGCTGCCTGATGCAGGGTGTCACCCCATCCATCACCCATCCCATGGGCTGGGAGGGACAGGGACAGCCCTGGAGCAGACTGCAAGCAAACAATCCCACATTTGGGAACGCCAGTCTGCAGAGTCAGAGGTTAATCTGACATGTCCAACACAAAGATGACCGCCTCCTCCTCAGGAACCCTTTCAGAGGGAAGGTGAAGATTTAACAAGGTGAAGATTCAGCAGGTTTCCTTTTTGCTTGCAGGCAGCACTCAGAATGACTTGTAGCTTTCACTACAGATGTGTGAACAGGCATTCCACAGCAGGCACTGATAGATTTATACTCCAATTACCACTTCTGAATCACTTGAGAAAACTGTTATGGTGATACACCAAACAAAACAATTCAGACCTACTTAAGCTAGTGAGCTTCAGCAGACTTAAATAAGGAATCTCCATATTTGGAGACATCCTACTTGAACAGAAATAAAACAAACATTAACTTGATTTACTTGTTTAATGCTCATATTACTGTAATTAGGAATATTGGATGAACAGTTTACTGTTCTCAAAATTCACCAGAAATAAGCATCACATCTTATGGATCAGGAGAAAAAGATATTATGAACAACTAAAAGACTTATGTCTGAAAATTAGGCACATTAACCCTTGTGGCATGCAAATATGGAAAACAAGGAAGGCTCTGGATGACAAAAAGAAGTTAAACAGTGGTAATGTGCAGTTGACTCACTTCTGTTCTTCATTCCTGCTTCCTCACCTCCCACAACACATGCCAGAAACCAGGTAATCTTATTTAAGTCAGCTAAAATTACGAATTTATACCCCTCAAATTACTCTGAACACTCAGGCAGTGCTTAAGACAATCTATTGTTCAAAGTTCTAATAGTTTCTGTGGTTCCCAAATATAACAGCAATAAATCTGCAACAGTTAAATTATGAACTTGTTGCATTTTGTAATCAAGCATGTTCTGTCAATCCACCTGATACCCCAGGAATTTTAGCTAGACATAATGAAGTCAGGTATCCTAAGATCTCCACTGTGTACAGCACTGTCTAAAGACCTCTGAACAGATTCCTCCTCACAACCCTATATTGCTGTCCTCCGAACATCTTTCCAGTGATAAAGTATTTTCACCACAGGAAACAGAGTTGGGTGTAAGAAAACTATCACAAATTTTTAAAGCAAGCAGGGGAGAAAAAAGTTATCCAGTTTGCATACTGATATATATGACCTGGCAAGAGCCTTTATTAGGAGAGCAGTGGCTGGGTGCCAGAATCCTAAAGCTCCAAAAGTACAAAATCCAAAAGGGACTGCTTTTCACAGAATCCTTAGGACTAAAAGCTTAAATAGACAAACAAAACCACTGACGAATTTCCACCCCAATCTCCTTAAAAACCTAAGTGAAAGGATTCTTCCTTCTCTCATTTTTATGTATCAGTACCCCCTATTTTTGCAAAGTCTCAAGGAAGCTATTAGTGCTACACTGAGCTGGAAGAGCTAATTAGTTTATTGGCTAGACAGGACAAAGACAGAAGGTACTGGCTGGAAATTTAACAATCAAAACAAAACTAAGCTTTCATCAAGCCAGTAAACAAGGAAGAGTTCTCTACCTATCAGCAGAAGCACTTTACACCCTTGTCTCCCTCCCTCATAAAAAGCTTATGCAGTCTGCATGACACCTAAACCACCCTAACAGTCAAATCTGATCCCTTTTGTTTTTCACAGTTTGCTTGAATTGTTAGAGTTTCTGTATTAGCAAAAAGAGTACTTGCAAAAGGCAGATGTCCCTATCTGAATAACAATATTTAAAGTAATGACAATAAGATTTGAATAGATTTGAAGAGATTTGTGGCAGTATAAAAGTTTGATATGACTCCACTAATCATATTTCTTAAACAAGAGATGATGATTCTACATAAATTTGCATAAAATGAAATATAAAAGCTTCTCTATGTATTTCATGTCAAAGATCAGAAAGTTCATGACCAAATAATTGAGAAATGTATCAGCCAAGTTGCTAATATTTATAACTATCTATTGCTTAGAAATGCAGTCACTGAATGCCCAAAAAACAGACATCAGCCTTCAGTACTACAGAGATGCAGGGAATCTATGAGTTGGCAAAACTACAAAGAATTCATGTCACCCATGACAATAATCTCAGTACAAAAATTCATTAAGCAACAAAGCAAACTCAAATATAAATTTACAAATACAGTATGCCTACATTATGCATGTAGGGTTCAGAAACTGATCAGTAAAATTATTAATGTCCTTAAAGTACCCATTAAAACTGATGGAAAAATTACTGACAGAGGGAAACACTGGGAATTGTTGTTTTCTCCATTAAACCAGACTGGAAATCTCTGGAAACCCACGGCACCGGGAATATTTCTCTGTCTGCTCTGGGGAGCACTGACTTTCACCCTCATTCATGGAGAAAGTTTCCTAGACTTCAAGATAGACTGGAATCCACAAAAGTGTGAAACAGATTATAGAGAGTAGTGTAGGTGTATCACTTGGTGAGAAATTTAGGTTTTGGGATTTTTAGTATGTTGTGAATGGAAGCAAGATGGAGGGCACAGTGCGTCGTCCTGGATTTCTTCTTCATGTTTCTTCCTTCTTCTTCATGGGTTTGGGTGGCACTTTGAGCAGAAAAGTCTGCATTGGAGGCTCTTTGGGATCAGTTATGGGGTTAAAAGGGAAAATAATCTAGGTGTCAGTTCTTAATTGGATAGTTTAGTCTTAAAAGACCTCGTAACAAGAGATTGTTGGCCATTTTGTGCCTTCTAATGAAAAGCTGCTGAACTCACAGTAGTGAGACTGTTTTACCAATAAGAAATAATAAACACCTGAGTTTGAACATGAAATACCTGTTCAAACTACATGATACATGAAGGCATCTCAAGTGCCTTCAATCCAGACACAGAAAAACCGATAGAGATCCTTTAGCAGTCATTGAAATTAATACAAATTTATACCTTGTTATGTTAAAAAGTTCTTGGTAATGCCATTATACTTTGTTCTTAATAGACAGCAATTGCTGAACTTCTTAGTGTTGAGCAGTGTTAACTAAGGATTAGTCCCAGCTAAGGGCTAAAAGGCTGGGCTCCCTTTTGCCCCTGAGTCTCAACCTGAAATGGTCCTCAGGCAACCAGAAAAATTAGTTTCACACATACTAGCCTCTTACAGTCATTTTCTGAAACTCAACTACTGTCATGCTTCAAACAACTTGAAATTTCACGTGGATCTTGAAGTTAGACACGTCCCTTTCACCTACATGAGGCTACAACAGGATGGATCACTGAGAGGGTAAAGGGCACTGCTCAAGTGCCCCCCATCAACACGTGCATTTCACTGCAGCATAGCTTTAAATCTGCACACAAACAATCTGGGAAATTACCACAGAATGGAAAAATACACCTGCAAATATCTTGCGATGAAAAGCCCTGGTAAAAGCATACAGACAGTTGAAATGAAGTTCCCACTGCAGTGTAGTAGGCAAAAGAACTAAAAAACTCCACCCTAATCTTTAACCTTATCAACAAAAAGATCATAATTGTAAGGAACTATTTTGTTTCTGTAATTGATAAGGATGTAACTATC